GCATATGAGCTTCCCTGAGATGGTTTCTGACAGTTTGTGCAGTTTGTCTATTGTGCAAACCCACAGTTTCATCAGCTGTCCTGGTGGCTGATCTCAGACGATCCCGCAGGTGAAGAAGCCGGATGTAGAGGTCCTGGGCTGGCGTGGTTACTCGTTGAGAAATGAACATTAAATTGTCTGGCAACGGCTCTGGTGGACATTCCTGAAGTCAGCATGCCAATTGCACGCTCCCTCAAATTGAGGCATTGTGTTGTGACAACTGCACACTTTAAAGAGGCCTTTTATTGTCCCCAGCACAAGGTGCACCTGTAATGCTGTTTTAATCATCTTATTGATATGCCACACCTGTGAGGTGGATGGATTATCTTGGCAAAGGAGAAATGCTCACTAACAGGGATGTAAACAAATGTGTGCACGAAATTTGAGAGAAATAAGCTTTTTTTGTGTATAGAACATTTCTGGGATTTTCTTTTATTTCAGCTCATGAAACATGGGATCAAAACTTTAACATTTTGCATTTATATTTTTGTTCAGTGTAACTTCAGCTGAAGTTAGCTAACTGGGAAAGTTAGAGGTGGCTGGCTGGCTCCTATGTTTCAATCCCAGCAATGTGTTTACATGTTTTTAGAAGACATTCACAATTTGATAAGCTTGCTAGCTAGTAGAGAAAGAGGATATGGACACGTTAGCTAAGTTAGCTGATGAAAAACATTGCAGGCGGTGTAGCCTTACTTGTAACGTTACTAGGATACAGGTAGCAACCTTATAGTAAACATTAGCTAGCTAGATGCTAGTCCAGTGACACAAGCTTACCAGACGAGCTAAACCACTTCTATGCTCGCTTCGAGGCAAGCAACACTGAAGCATGCATGAGAGCACCAGCTGTTCCGGATGACTGTGATCACGCTCTCCGTAGCCGATGTGAGTAAGACTTTTAAGCAGGTCAACATTCACAAGGCCGCAGGGCCAGACGGATTGCTGACCAACTGGCAAGTGTCTTCACTGACATTTTCAACATGTCCCTGACTGAGTCTGTAATACCAACATGTTTCAAGCAGACCACCATAGTCCCCGTGCCCAAGGACACTAAGATAACCTGCCTAAATGACTACCGACCCATAGCACTGATGTCTGTAGCCATGAAGTGCTTTGAAAGGCTGGTCATGGCTCACATCAACACCATTAACCCAGAAACCCTAGACCCACTCCAATTTGCATTCCGCCCCAACAGATCCACAGATTCTGCAATCTCTATTGCACTCCACACTGCCCTTTCCCACCTGGACAAGAGGAACACCTACGTGAGAATGCTATTTTTTTTATTTCACCTTTATTTAACCAGGTAAGCCAGTTGAGAACAAGTTCTCATTTACAACTGCGACCTGGCCAAGATAAGGCACATTTATTCATTGACTACAGCTCAGCATTCAACACCATTGTGCCCTCAAAGCTCATCACTAAGCTACGGATCCTGGGACTAAACACCTCCCTCTGCAACTGGATCCTGGACTTCCTGACAGGCCGCCCCCAGGTGGTAAGGGTAGGTAACAACACATCTGCCACGCTGATCCTCAACACGGGGGCCCCTCAGGGGTGCGTGCTCAGTCCCCTCCTGTACTAACTGTTCACCCATGACTGCATGGCCAGGCACGACTCCAAAACCATCATTAAGTTTGCCGACGACACAACAGTGGTAGGCCTGATCACCGACAACTATGAGACAGCCTATAGGGAGGAGGTCAGAGACCTGGCCGTGTGGTGCCAGGATAACAATCTCTCCCTCAACGTGACCAAGACAAAGGAGATGATTGTGGACTACAGGAAAAAAAAGAGGACTGAGCACGCCCCCATTCTCATCGACGGGGCTGTAGTGGAACAGGTTGAGAGCTTCAAGTTCATTGGTGTCCACATCACCAATGGACTATCATGGTCCAAACACACCAAGACAGTCGTGAAGAGGGCACAACAAAGCCTATTCCCCCTCAGGAGACTGAAAATATTTGGCATGGGTCCTCAGATCCTAAAAAGTTATACAGCTGCACTATCGAGAGCATCCTGACTGGTTGCATCACCGCCTGGTATGGCAACTGCTCGACCTCCGACCGCAAGGCACTACAGAGGGTAGTGCGTACGGCCCAGTACATCACTGGGGCCAAGCTTCCTGCCATCCAGGACCTCTGTACCAGGCGGTGTCAGAGGAAGGCCCTCAAAATTGTTAGACTCCAGCCACCCCAGTCATAGACTGTTCTCTCTGCTTCCGCACGGCAAGCGGTACCGGAGCACCAAGTCTAGGTCCAAAAGGCTTCTCAACAGCTTCTACCCCAAAGCCATAAGACTCCTGAACAGTTAATCATGGCTAGCCGGACTATTTGCACTGCCACCCCACCCCCACCCCATCTTTTTACACTGCTGCTACTCTGTTAATTATTTATGCATAGTCACTTTAACTCTACCCACATGTACATACTACCTCAACTAGCCGGTGCCCCCGCACATTGACTCTGCACCGGTACCCCCCTGTATATAGCCTCCCTACTGTTATTTTATTTTACTTCTGCAATTTTTTTCTCAACACTTTTTGGTTTTATTTTACTTTTTTATTAAAAAATAAATGCATTGTTGGTTAAGGGCTGTAAGTAAGCATTTCACGGTAATGTCTACACCTGTTGTATTCGGCGCATGTGGCAAATAAAATATGATTTGATATAACAATCTAGAAATGTTAGCAAGATTATGGATAAATATAATTTATTACCACATTGAACTTACCCAGTCTATCTCCATCACTGCTGACACTCGCGATATACCGGTAGGTCGGTAGGAAACAGAGGTCCCGTTGCTCCCGAGTGGCGCAGTGGTCTAAGGCACTGCATCTCAGTGCTTGAGGCGTCACTACAGACCCCCTGGTTCGATTTCAGACTGTATCACAACCGTGATTGGGAGTCCCATAGGGCAGCGCACAATTGGCCCAGCGTCGTCCGGGTTTGGCCGATGTAGGCCGTCATTGTAAATAAGAATTTGTTCTTAACTGACTTGCCTAGTTAAATAAAGGTAAATTAAAATAAATAAAAGGTTGCAGGCTTCACATTCACGCTCAGCACAGCACCTGGTTTCAGTCGGAGTCTCATTCAGAATCCTGCCTTCCACTGGTTATAGCCATCGAAGTCCTCCGGGGTGAAATGAGCACCCCATACGGTAGACGTGCCCGCTGTTCCCTTACTCCAATCTGCTCGCTTCAACTCTACAAACCGGTCCCACTTCAAAGCTAGCTTCATGTTTTTGGGCCACAAATGAATCGTAAGCCCGTCCTTGTGGGTATTATTGCACCCAGCAACAACACACCTCCTTGGAAAATTGAGCTTTTAAAAAAGCTGTTGGGTCTGAAATGAAAACCAACACTAGCTACGGACGACGGAAAACTACTACAATGATCACTAGCTCGCTCAACTCCCAATAGCCTACCAAACGCACAGGAGAAGAGCAGATGCAGTTTTTCGCATTAATTTATATGTTTTCTTCTTTGTAGATGTATATAGTAGCTCACCAGCGCCAACACTTGGTTTGGAATGTAATTACATGCTAGCATGCCTAGTAGCTTACGTTAGCCAGCTGGAACTAGCTAGGTAGCACCGGTTCTCCATACCTTGAGAAATAGTGCATTGTGGATAGTTCCGAAGATATCCGTAAATAAATTAATAAATATGTTTAAAAAAACTTTAAAAGAATGACATAACTATGTTTGTAGTTATAGGTAACTTGATCGTGACTACAACTAAGTCTTTGACCACACTGTGTTCTTACATTTACATTTTAGTCATTTAGCAGACGCTCTTATCCAGAGCGACTTACAGTTAGTGAGTGCATACATTTTTATTTTAATTTTTTTCATACTGGAATCGAACCCACAACCCTGGCGTTGCAAATACCATGCTCTACCAACTGAGCTACATCCCTGCCGGCCATTCCCTCCCCTACCCTGGACGACGCTGGGCCAATTGTGCGCCGCCCCATTGTTACTTTGAGTAAAAACTCATGCTTCCTACCCTTTTAAGTCAACAGTAACATAGAGATATAGGTACTGTAATTCATGAATATCTGACGGACAAAGGGCAGGAGTAGGGAGTTATGAATAACCTCCTGGATGTTGTGATGATTTGCATTTAAACACCTTGGGTGACTCATTCAAGCTGGCAGCCTAATCTGTAATTTGCCAGCTTTATTCCATGCATCACAGTTTGGCACCTGGCTAGCCCCGCCAGCCCAAAATCCCACATGAGATCACAGTCACAGCCTGGCAACTCTTCTAAGAGGCAACTGTGTGACTGTATGAGGGACCTGCACTAGATTAACTTCAAAGTCTAAGCCGTTTGGGGGGGGGGGGGGTCTACTAAGCTAACATATGGAATTAGTTATTTGATTTAGAATTTTAGGACCCATTTAGATAGATGGAGATATATATTACTTTTTGGGGGGGATAAAATATTGACGTTATATAGCCCTTTACTACAATATAGCCCATAGAAACGCATTGAATAACACATTCATAAATGGCAATAAAGACAATAAAAAAGAAATCATAAGAAAACTCAGGACACTTTTCCAAAGTGGGGTCATATTAGTTTGTAGGCCAAACCATTCGGAAGCTACGTTTTCGTGAGAAGACCGATTTTCGAGATGTCTCATGGTCTGACAAACATCACTGTAGCTCGGCCACCTTCCACCGCAGATGCAGAAGGCTGACATAGGCGGATGCGGTGGATTGAGACGCAATCCACCGATATCTCTAGCTTAAACTGATGGATTTTGATGGGGATTTTTAAATTATATTAATTAGTTTGACGCAGGGCTGCTTTAATAATTTGACACAAACTAAGAAACTGATTATGCTGTCCCTCTTTGATGACAGGGTGGAGCCCATTCACTATGACACCCCTAAACCCTCCGGTCATACACGTTTCGTCTGTGTGTCGGACACACACTCCAGGACCGATGGGATCCAGATGCCATATGGTGACGTCCTGCTCCATACTGGAGACTTCACTGAACTGGGCCTACCCTCTGAGGTCAAGAAATTCAACGACTGGCTAGGTAAAGTCTCCTTTTTAATGCACACACAATGCTGTTTTGTGCTCTCAACACTCATCATTCTGTACAGTAACCTCCATCTAGGCTAATCACCGTTTTGTGCATTCTAATCAAATTTAAATATGTGTAAAGGTTATTCGCTTTAAGTTACTACACCAACAATGTTTAGTCAAATTTGGTCTTCACTTGTCTGCTTTGACATTATTTAATATTTACTACTGCAAATAAAACATTTAAGATTAAGAACCTACGAAAAGGAAGAAGTAATTTTCTTTGAAGGCCACACATTATTAAAACACTGCCATCCTCCTTATTTTCAAATTTAAATTAGCATTAAGCCGAGATAAAATGGAGTTGAGCTTTCAAATTGAGCTCTATACAGAACTGTCTTACCGTGGTAATAGAGGAAGTAACTGGGACAAAGGACCTCTATCTCCAAGAAAGTTAAGGTCAAATGAAAATGTTTAAAATGTCCCTTTGTTGACTTGAATAGGTGTGCATTGACTGGGTAACTAAGGTCTTCATCTGCAGTTATTGCTCTTTGGTAAGAGGGGAAATGTTTACCGTGATCTGAGGAGGTCAAGAAGCCTTCACCTTTTAATTTGTGGCATTTTACTTTCATGGACCATTCCCTTAACCTCTCGATGACAACTTTCTATTTCAGTTAATATATACACTACATGACCAAATGTATGTGGACACCTGCTCATTGAATATCTAATTCCAAAATCATGGGCATTAATATGGAATTGGTCCCCTATAATAGCCTCCACTCTTCTGGGAAGGCTTTCACCTAGATGTTAGAACATTGCTGCGGGGACTTTCTTCCATTCAGCCACAAGAGCATTAGTGATGTTGGGCGATTAGGCCTGGCTCACAGTCAGCGGTCCAATTCATCCCAAAGGTGTTCGATGGGGTTGAGGTCAGGGGCTCTGTGCAGGCTAGTCAAGTTCTTCCACACCGATCTCGACAACCCATTTCTGTATGGACTTCGCTTTGTGCATGGGGGCATTGTCATGCTGAAACAGGAAAGGGCCTTCCCCAAACTGTTGCCACAAAGTTGAAAGCACAGAATCATCTAGAATGTCATTGTATGCTGTAGCGTTAAGAATTCCCTTCACTGGATCTAAGGGGTCTAGCCCGAACCATGAAAAACAGCCCCATACCATTATTCCTCCTGCTCCAAACTTTACAGTTTGCACTATGCATTCGTGCAGGTAGCGTTCTCCTGGCATCCGCCAAACCCAGATTAGTCCGTCGGACTGCCAGATGGTGAAGCGTGATTAATCACTCCAGAGAACACGTTTTCATTGCTCCAGAGTCCAATTGCGGCGAGCTTTACACCACTCCAGCCAACTCTTGGCATTGCGCATGGTGATCTTAGGCTTGTGCTGACGTTGCTTCCAGAGGCAGTTTGGAACTCGGTAGTGAGTGTTGCAAGCAAGGACAGACGATTTTTACGCACTTCAGCACTCGGCGGTCCCGTTCTGTGAGCTTGTGTGGCCTACCACTTCGCGGCTGAGCCATTGTTGCTCCTAGATGTTTCCACTTCATAATAACAGCACTTACAATTGACCGGGGCAGCTCTAGCAGGGCAGAAATTTGACAAACTGAGTTGTTGGAAAGGTGGCATCCTATGACGGTGCCACGTTGAACGTCACTGAGCTCTTCAGTAAGGCCATTCTACAGCCAATGTTTGTCTATGGAGATTGCATGGCTGTGTGCTCGATTCTATACACCTGTCAGCAACGGGTGTGGCTGAAATAGCCGAATCCACTAATTTGAAGGGGTGTCCACATTCTTTTGTGTGTGTATATATATAGTGTATATTGATTCAACAACTGGGAAATTGTTATCCCTAGAAACCCTGCTACTGGCCAAAGCCATGTAGTGTTAAAGTCCTGTACATATCACTTGCCTTACATTGAACAACAGCAACAGTAATAGCTATCCATTCTATCCATATTCAACAATTCTTTCTGGCTCCGTCTTCCCTGCAGGGAGTCTACCGTATGAATTCAAGGTGGTGATCGCCGGGAACCATGAACTGACGTTTGACAAGGACTTCATGGCTGAGCTGGTCAAGCAGGATTACTATCGCTTTCCCTCCGTCTCCAAGCTGAGACCTGAGGACTTTGATGATGTTCAGGCCCTCCTCTCAAACTGTACTTACCTGCAGGACTCTGAGGTCACAGTCAAGGGATTCCGAATATACGGGGCACCGTGGTAAGTTGATCTCGTCTTGGGTTAAATATCATGAGTGTTATGCTACAGTGACTATAGGTCAGCAAGATTTTAGTTTTGGGTAAAAAAAGACTGTAAAAAAAAGTTTGATTTAGGAAGTCTGTTCAAGTATTCCCTAAAAAAAAAAGAGACGTGATCATGTCTCAATGTAATTAAGGTGTGAAATGATTGTATTTGAAAATAATCTATTTTTGGGCTTAGCTGTGGTCAATTTGCAGTGTTCAAATTATTATAATTATTTTCCCCCTTGAGTATTCGCTCCGACAACAATCGGCTCGTGGCTGAATCTAGTTGCCTCTACCCCTGCTATAGGGACACTGATCACTGTACCTGAGTTTGCCCTGTTGGTCATATACTGTATGCTTTACATACAGTAGAGGTGATGACAGAACGTGTGTGGTGACTCGCTTTGCTTGCTTATTTAAGTCCCTGAATTAGTCTAGTTAATTTTTTCTTTACTAGTGTGTGTGTGTCCATGGTGGATATCAAACACTCTACAGAGTATTCACTGCTTCTATGTTCTAAATCACTTATTGCTTTTTACCATTTCCATACCTCGTTGAGGTCATTGCCTTGTTGTCCTGAATCTTGACTCCTGTGTCTTTGGTTAGACACAGAGTGCCTGAGAGAGACGTCTGTGATTAGTTGGGTGTCCCAGCCATGTCCTCCTCCTGTCATAGACTTGGTGCATGTCCTAACATGTTACAGGCTGCCATGGAGACAGACATGTACTTCTAGTGTACTCAGCTTCAGACTGTTATGTCATCACACACCCATATCCCCAGCCAGCTACACCGCTGTGTCTGACCTGTGTATATCTCCCAGGCCCAGTAAACCCTTCAACCACTGCTTCTCTAGTTTCTCCTCTGTACTACTGTGTCAGTGAGGGGACGAATGCTGAACGACTGATCTCTGATTGGATTAGGAAGTCAGACTCCGAGGTGGTTCATGAGGCAAGTGAAGAGTTTCGCTGTCGGCCTGTCATATGATGCTTCGCAAAAAGAAATGTATGCTGTGCCGGCGACACATTTTCTATATTTCTCCCTCTGAGACACTTTTTCAAAAGGGGATATTGTTGTTTTAGAAGGCTAGAATTACAAAACATAGCCTAATGTATAGACCTAACCGAAAGTAAACTTCATCCCCGTAAACTCCATCGCCTGGTATTCTCCCCAGTAGGATGGACAGAGACATGCTGCCTGGCTAGCTGGAGAGGGCCAGAGCAGTGGAATCATGCCATTATGTATCAGTCTGCCTGACCCCCGTCTGGCCTCCACAACTCCCTGCTGGCCGACGCACACACCAACCTCCTTTCACAGGCTCTCTATCCCCTTCCCAGAGCTAATAATGTTCTGTGAACCACACGCCTCCATCTGCCTGTGTTGTTCTTCATCAGCCCCTGGACGTTTAGTCTGGGAGAGAGAGAAAGAGGTCAGGGGGATTTTGTCTCCTCAAGCCCCAGTTGAATAGGTATGACTCATCTGACAGTGAAAGTCTGACCAGGTGTAATGTTATGATGATGACATTGAGAGAATTGGTGTTTTAGGTCTTCATACCTTAACCTGGCTCAGTCAGTATTGTATTGTATTATATTATATTTGCTTCCTGAGCCCAACTCTCATTATCAGTGGTAAACCTTCCTGTCTTGAGGAGGGAACTCTCCTAGCTTGATTTAATCATATATCTTCCACTTCAAAGGTTTTGGTTCTCCTGGTGATAGTGGAATGTTTCTCACAATGCAGGCCGTGAGGAAAGAGCAACAATGAGGGCAGAAACATGGTGTTTCAGTCATAGAGTAGTACTGAATCAAATGATTATTTTGGCAGGAGGGGCGGGGACATGAAGGGTAGAGAACCAGCCGACAGGATGCATGATGGGAGGTCTATGTTGCAGCTCTGGGGTAGTCTACACCAGGGAGATTTCCCAGCCTCTCCAGCAGGAAGTGGCCTTTGTTCCGACACATCCTGGTTCTTTTGTTGGGGCGTACGGATCAACCCTAGGCCTGACCCCGCGCCCCCTTAGGGACAGCACTCCCAGCAGGCCACGGTGGCCCCTGCTACCACTGAGCCTAGTGATCACAGAGGTCATTTCCACCGCCCACAAAGAGCTCAGCCAGGCTTGACACACACTGCATGCCTGCTCTAGGTCTCAGGGTCAATACTGACACCGTCTGAATGAATTGTTTTTGGGGGGTAATTGTCAAAGCCAGTAGTTCATGACCTTGACTCCTAGATATTTCTGATAGCACTGCAACAGACTTTTGCCAGATAGCATGTCTGTCTGCAGACTTAACTGGTAAAGTTAAAGGGATACTTCGGGATTTGTCAATGAGTCCCTTTATCTACACTGAACAAAAATATAAACGCAACATGTAAAGAGTTGGTCCCATGTTTCATGAGCTTAAATTGAAGATCCCAAAAATGTTCCATATGCACAAAGTGTATTTATCTCAAATTGTGTGCACAAATTTGTGTACATCCCTGTTAGTGAGCATTTCTCCTTTGCCAAGATAATCCATCTACCATATCAAGAAGCTGATTAAACAGCATGATCATTACACAGGTGCACCTTATGCTGGGGACAATAAAAGGCCACTCTAAAATGTGCAGCTTTGTCACACAACACAATGCCACAGATGTCTCAAGTTTTGAGGGAGCGTGCAATTGGAATTCTGACTGCAGGAATGTCCACCAGAGCTGTAGCCAGAGAATTGAATGTTCATTTCTCTACCATAAGCCACCTCCAAAGTCGTTTTAGAGAATTTGGAAGTACGTCAAACCGGCCTCACAACCGCAGACCACGTGTAACCACACCAGCCCAGGACCTCCACATCTGGCTTCTTCACCTGCGGGACCGTCTGAGACCAGCCACCCGGACAGCTGATGAAACTGTCAGAAACCATCTCAGGGAAGCTCATCTGCGTGCTCATCGTCCTCACCAGGGTCTTGACCTAACTGCAGTTCAGCGTCGTAATCAACTTCAGAGGGCAAATGCTCACCTTCGATGGCCACTGGCATGCTGGAAAAGTGTGCTCTTCACGGATGAATCCCGGTTTCAACTGTACCGGGCAGATGGCAGACAGCGTGGATGGTGTCGTGTGGGTGAGCGGTTTGCTGATGTCAACGTTGTGACAGAGTGCCCCATGGTGGCGGTGGGGTTATGGTATGGGCAGGCATAAGCTACGGACAACAAACACAGTTGCATTTTATCAATGGCAATTTAAATGCACTGAGATACCGTGACGAGATCCTGACGCCCATTGTCTTGCCATTCATCTGCTGCCATCACCTCATGTTACAGCATGATAATGCACGGCCCCATGTCGCAAGGATCTGTACACAATTCCTGGAATCTGAAAATGTCCCAGTTCTTCCATGGCCTACATACTCACCATACATGTCCCCCATTGAGCATGTTTGGGATGCTCTGGATCGACTCATACGACAGCGTGTTCCAGTTCCCAGCAATATCCAGCAGCTTCGCACAGCCATTGAAGAGGAGTGGGACACCATTCCACAGGCCACAACCAACAGCCTGATCAACTCTATGCGAAGGAGATGTGTTGAGCTGCATGAGGCAAATGGTGGTCACACCAGATACTGACTGGTTTTCTGATCCACGCCCAATACTTTTTTTTTTAAGGTATCAAATAAAATCTAATTGTATTGGTCACTTACACATATTTAGCAAATGTTATTGCAGGTGTAGGTAAATGCTTGTGTTCCTAGCTCCTACAGTGCAGTAGTATCTAACAGTTCACAACAATACACACAAATCTATTAAAGTGACTAGTGTTCCATTATTAAAGTGACCAGTGATTCCATGTCCATATCTGTGACCAACAGATGCATATCTGTATTCCCAGTCATGTGAAATCCATAGATTCGGGCCTAATGAATTTATTTCAATGACTGATTTCCTTATATGAACTGTAACTCAGTAAAATCTTTGAAATTGTTGCATGTTGTATTTATATTTTTTTCAGTGTACCCCGGAGTCAGATGAACTCCTGGATAGCATGCTAGTACATACCCATAGACTTCCAGTCATTGCGCTAATTTTAGTTAGCATTTGCTGGCGAAACTACCTGTAACTTCCTTCATACTGGACACAGAGACATAAAAATGGTATCCACGGGTTCATCAGAATCTGGGGAAGTAGATAAAGGACCTCTTTGCCAAAATCCCAAAGTATCCCTTTAAGCCAAAAATGTTACAACATTTACATGAAATGTTCCATATCTCTTAGTAGCATTGAACAGCTAAAACCTCCTCCTTTAATGGCAGATATACCATGACCAAACCTAGTAGTGTTCTATGTGTGTGACTGAGGGCAAAGGGAGCTGAGCTGCTATACTATAGGCAGTAAAATGGTATGGCTTTAAAAAATCTAAGACTTCCTCTAATCCGCCTGTGACTGCGAACACACTGGTCATGTGACCTCTGGGTTAACATTGGGTGAGAGCCCGCCAGGCAGAGCCACAAAGAAGGTGTGGCTCTCTGTTGCCATAGAAACCATGGCACAGCCGTGTGTGTGTGTGTGTGTGTCATCCTCAGTGTGTTTGCCATTAAAGCAGTTCCACTGGTGTGTGAGTCTGTGAGGATAGCGTAGCTGTGGGGTTAATGCAGGCTCAATCTCTCACATGGACACCCATGCTGGGCTGGTAATATACTTTATTGACTGGTAGACTGGCAATTGTCTTAATGTCATTTGTGGCTTTGATTTTCTGTCCGTCTGTGTAGCACGTGAATTGATGGGAATGGGAAAGCTGCCTGACTAATCGCCAAAAGTGTGCGAGCATAGCCTCAAATGACCCTGGTGTTTATGGAAAGAAATGAGGGCATATCTGAAATGAGGTTCTAACTCCCTAGATAAGGGCTCCAGTTTCAGCATCACTTGGTGGAAATCCCTATAACCGCTGAATGTGTGAAAATCCTGTCATCACAACAACTTGTCTGATAAGTCCTACTGTGTTGGTGATGGGGG